GATTTGACCGTCCGTTGTCTCCGAGGGGACCCGCCGGAAGCATCGGGATACGCGGCTTCCGAAAGCGTCCGGATCCACGTCACGAAGCAGGGGGGGGGGACAGCAAGGGGGAGAGACGCGCGCGCGGCGGAGCAACATTCCAGCCGCAAGCCGTTGCTTAAAAAGTTCCAACGCGACGACTCGTCGCCGGCGTGAGCCGGTTATTAAAAATCGAATTCCCCGCGCACGACGGACAACCTGCGTCCACCTGAAAGGCACGTTCGGCCATTATCGACGTAAATATTAGATACGCGCGCGGGAGCTTTCGGAAACGCCGCGTCCGAGGGACGCGTTCCGCCGAGAGCCGGGAGGACGACTGGATTAAAGGAATTCCCGGACGGAGTGTATTCGTGTGGAAATCGAGAATACGTAACGCAGCGCGCGCGGGCTTTCCTCCGTGGGCGTGGAATGCCCGGCCGGGCAATTAGCTAATTTCTAACGAGCGAGCGAACGAACGGACGAGAGGAACACGAGCGGTGGTGCGCGCGCGCGCGAGGACACGCTGCCGAGCGACGTCGTTTGACTTGGAACTTTTTAATTAACCCAGCCGCGGCTACGTTTCGGGTCTTCCTCGTGGCGGCGGCGGGAACAACCGCGAGCGGGAAAAATTCAATCGAGCCAATTCCACCGTCGTCGTCTAATTCCCCCGCGTCTTTCGTCGCTCCGGAGACCGCCTGACGACTCCTTCTCTCGCTGTTGCGGGAAACGATCGCCGATCGAGATTCGCCGATTTCTTTCGACGGTGTTATTTTTTTTCCGACGCTCAACTCGAGAGAGAGAGAGAGAGAGAGAGAGAGAGAGAGAGAGAGAGAGAGAGTTTGAGTCAGTCCGATAGTTAACGGCAAGTGAATGAGAAATAGGGAATAAAAATGCAAGTCGCGATGCATGCGCTCGTCAGCTAGTAATCGGCGATACAGATCTAATTTGTTATACCGAGTTGGTTGCGTTTTACATGCAAATCAATGAGACGCGGCGATACCGCAGCTCACTGTTCATGGCCGGATAACGCAATAGTCGACGAAGCGTTTGCTTCCTGCGTGTGTGTGCGCGCGACAGCGATAATTTGTTGCCTTCGTATCCACGCCGTCACGCAAACCGAGGCTGTTTTACAAAATTCTATAAAAAGAGAAAGGAAAATAAAAGAACGCAAGGTGTTCAGTGGCGAAATATCGCGGAAGGGACCGCTGGCGTAGCGAACGTGCCAAATCTCAGGGGGAAGATTTTCATTTCCGGGTAACGCGGTCGCAGAGTCGCGGGAAAAGGGGGGAGAAAGAGGTATCGCGAGTGTCCACTCGAGAATGAGATTTCCCTTCTCGCGGTTAAACAGCACGGACTTCAATAAGACGCGAGCACGAACGCATGTTTTTTATTCGTGTCGGCGACAGAAAGTTTCACGAAAGTCGCATAACCGCTCCGCGGGGCGCGAAGCTTTCCCTCCCTCTCGCGGCTGGGCATTTCAGATATTTCCATCGCGAGGCGCCCCGCTCTCTCTCTCTCTCTCTCACTCTCTCTTGTGAACTCGGTTACTCTTGCACGGCTAAAATCACGGGGAAAAAGCATCTATTTAACCGGCCCGGTTCTCGGCTAAGCCGATTACAGGTCGAGGGGGCGCCACGAAAATCGCCGGCTCTGCCGCGCGAGAGCGGAATCGCCGCCGCGCAATTCGGCCGCCGACGTTTTGTCACGCTCAATGTTGCGTGTCACAACGCGGTGTGCGCCGCGCTCGATTTACGAGGATTACAGGCCGCTTATTGCGCGCCGCGTGCAACCCTCCGCGCGCGAGGCTCGCTCGCGCGCGCCCCTTGGCGCCCCTTCGCGCCCGTTATTACCGCGGACGTCGCGTTCTAGCGCGAAAAATGCGCCGCCGCTAAACGGTCCCGCGGATTTTCACACTTTTCCGGCACGCTTTCGCGATCGGAAAATCGCGGGATGTACGCGCGCATTGTTCGCGCGGATAAAACGTACCGCGCGCCAGCGTTTCGACGAGAAGTCATCGCTGGGAAATTTCAGCGAGACTCGCCCCAGAGAGTTTACGGCTCAACGCGTGTCGAGATTTAGAGATATTAATAAATATTCGTTAATTCATATAAATGTGCCGAACATCTTGGAAATTTTGTCTTTCCGAATCGAGACACAAGGGTAACGTCCCAGTGTCCGGCTACTTTGAAAAAAAAAATATTTACCATTTATTTTGACAATAATGAATGAAAGTAACAATTATTGTAAGAAAACTCCGATACGATTAGTTGGAGGAAAAATATATTCAATTTGATACTTTTGTATTAAGATAAAAAGATTAATGAAATAAGTACGCACCTATGGTTTGCCAAAATAATGGTCAAAATATAATATTCAAATATTTTTGAAAGAAAATATTTTCTGCTTATTTTAACGATAATGAATGAAAGTAATAATTATTAGTAAAAAAAAACTATATCTGACGACTATTTGGAGAAAGAATATACCCAGTTTGATATTTTTGTATCAGAATAAAAATTAATTCAACAAGTACGCACCTATGGTTTGGCAAAATAATCAGTCAGTCGTTAATAAATTCATTAAGAGATAACATCTATATTTATATTATTTCCCGTTAGCATATACTAATTTTTTAATGACGGTCAGACACTGGGACAAATACACTGCGCAAAAAAGTTATGGCATTAAAAAATTTGCGCTGAAAATTGCTCAATTTTGAACAATGATTACTCAGTGACAAATGGTAATTGTAAGACGATGATTTTTGTTCAAATTAAAGGTTGAAGTCTCAGCTTTAACATGCTTTCGATTGATTTTAGATCCAATTCATTCCTACAGCGTGCGATCTCATAATTCGATGGCATGTTTTTGATTTAAAATTTTGCAACTTTGACAAAACGCACAGGCTTGGGTAATTTTTTTCGAAATTTTCATTTGCGGGCAATGAAAGTTTCATTCTTTCCCTTTCATTTAAAAAAAATTCAAGTCTCTACGATTTTTTCTCGCGATTTTACAGCATTTTAAAGAAACCTGTACATTTTCGTTATTGAAGGTAGGATTTGTAGGAAATCACTGCCAACTTTAGCATTACCTAATGGGATACCGAATTTTTGCATTAAGTGTAAAACAAGGTAGTTCATGGTAGTGTTTTATGATAAAGAAACATACATCCATTGTCTCAGGCTCAACGAGCACTAATTATTGCGCTTCTGAGCGAAGGCTTCTCGCAAAGGTACGCGGCGAGGCGACTCGGTATTAACCAATCCGCGGTTCCGCGAATTTAGTTACATTTCCGGGAAACGGATAATTTACAATCACGAGAGGGACAGGGAAGGCAACAGATGACAACTCCACGAGAAGATCCCACGGAGTCGGCAGTGTGCCAATGCCAAAGATTATTGAACATAGCTACGCAAACCTTACTTCCAGTAACGAAAATGTAAAGGTTTCTTTAGAACGCTGCAAAATCGCGAAAAAAATCGTAGAGACTTGAATTTTTTTTTTAATCAAATTTTCATTTCCCGCAAGTAGAATTTTCGAAAAAAAAAAAATTACCCAAGCCCGTGCGGTTTGTCAAAGTTTGCAAATTTTTAAATCAGAAACATGCCACTGGATTATGGGATCGCACGCTGTAGAAATGAATTGGATCTAAAATCAACCGAAAGCATGTTAAAGTTGAGACTTCAACCTTTAATTAAGAAAGAAAATCATCATCTTACGACCATTTGTCGCTGAGTAATTATTGTTCAAAGTTGAGCAATATTCAGCGTATATTTTTTGATGCCATAATTATTTTGAGTAGTGTATATCCGAATATTGAGCCGTAATTTATTTCAACTGTCCGGTTACCGGTACATTAATACGCTTCATTACTTGTGTAAATATTTCATTAATAATATATATAAAGTCTGTAAAGTAAGAGCGTGCACGGCATAAATGGCAGTTGGCTTCAAATATCGTTCTAGTTTTTTGTGAGCCGATAGGTGAAATCTTTTCTGAATGCTTTGTCGTGAATGCTTTGTCACAAAAGATTCAGTTGGCGTCGAACTCTAACCTGAGAAACACGTTAACCGCCATGAGTGCCGCATCGCGCTACGAGGCTGTGTTCCTTTGTTCCCACCCCAAAGGACCAAAAATGTCATATGCAGAGTGGCTGCTAAATATATGGGAAAGTCAAAATCGTTCGTCGCTAAGTGGGTTCAGCAATATAAGAAGATCAAAAATGTCGATGACTTGCCAGAACGTGGCTCGATAGGCAAAGTGACGCCGAATATGGAAGAAAAAATTGTGAATTTGTTTAAGCGGAACCCGACCTTAATGCTTAAAATTTATGACAAGTGTTTGTTGCCGACTGCTGAACGATGCTTTATAAAAAAAAAAAACGAGGACTGGATCTTACAGGAAGACAACGAGCGAAAACACCGGAGCAAGCTTTGCACCGAGTGGAAAGAGCAGTCTGGCATCGTCACACTTGATTGGCCATTGCAGTCGCCAGATGCAAATCCCATTGAAAATGTGTGGGCATATCTCAAGCACAAGCTTCGAGGAAAAAGAGCGTGCACTTTGAAGCAGCTGACACGACAAATTCGTCTCACTTGGAGGTCTTTGCCGAACGAATACGCAGTCAACTTAGTGGAAAGTATGCCTCGGAGATGCCAGGCGATTATCAATGCCGCTGGTGACTGGACTCATTATTAATGGTATAGCATTTTTCTTCTCATGGAGTACAACAAATCCATGTACTTAAAAATCATTAAAAATAAATGTTTCTACACATTAACCCGTGCACGCTCTTACTTTACAGACTGTATATACATACAGTCAGTTTAAATAATTTTTCTCCACTTAAGGGAATCTTAAGTTTCCGAATAAATGTTAATTCCAGCGATTTTTTCTCTCCGCGTCACACGGGACTTACAACTTTGCGATATGTGCGAGACGAGGCGCGACGGTCGATCACGAGGAGATTCGATCGCACTCACCGTCTTCTTCAGGCGAGATATCGGCGACATGTTGAGGCCAGCGATGATCGCCATCAGGGAATTGAAGTTGCCGATGTTGAAGCATTCTCGGGCGGTCTCGATCCAATATTCGACGACACGAACGCGTTGCTTCTTCTTCGCATGCTGCAAGAAAACGGAGGAGCTTGTCGTGGTAGATTGCACGGCGTTCTTCGGATATTCCGAGGGACTCGACGAAAATTTCTTTATTTCCCGTCGAGACGTCTCGTCGGGAAACGTTACTCGAAACCTTAGCCCGAGCGACGGCGAGAATCGTATAGGGGGAAAATGTACGAAACACCTTGATGATATTTACCTTGCAGACCTCCGTCGCTACGAAGTAGCTCAGTCTGTTGAACCACTGGACGTACGACTCGAGATTTCGTGTTTTCTTCATGTCTTTGAAGGAAGTTTCTAAATGCGGTGATTCCTGAGGGGAGACAATCAGAACAATACTTTTCCCATTCGGCGCTACTTCATCGTTCCGGCTGCACTTTTGCTCAGCGTGCGACTGCGAGAGATAGACTCACCTTGGCGAAGGCCTGCACGAATTCTTCGGGTCCGATGTAAGACAGCCTCTCGAGTTCCACGTGAGTCAGCTGCTGCGCCAACACCGTGGCCGACGGACAGAGCTCGGTGACGTCCACCTGGAAGACGAAGCGACAGTTCCACGTTAAAGGGACGAAGCTGCACTTCGGAGAGGGGGAGAAGTCGGATGCTCGGGTCGGGGATCAGCTGGGGCGGCGACGAATACACGTTCGGCTGTCGAAAGTGCTGAGGGTGGCAAGTGGGGAGATTGGCGCTTTATCAGACCGCGATGAGCGGCGTTTTCAAACGAAAGCTCACGTCGAAGTGGCGTAATCACGTCGCGTCGTTCTCCCGCGCCCTGCAGATTTACGTTTCCATGGCGCGCTCTATTAGCTACGTCGATTCCACACCGCCGCGCCCCATCATATTGTCCTGAGGATCGTCGATTCGGCTCGCGTGTAAAGCCGCGCGCTCCCCTCCCCCCCCCGCTTCCTCAGCCGTTTCTCCCGTAAGCTCGTTCTCTCGTCACCGAGCGCGTAAGGTCGTAGGGTCAAAAAGGAGCAAGGACGAGACGGGCGGGACGAGAGGGAAACTCGTCGAGTGTAATAAATGGGAATTTACACCGTTTGTCGCGTCGCGCGTTTGACTTTTTTCTCCCTGTGCTCCTCCACCCCCGCGCCCCTTTCACGGCAGCGATTTCTTTGCTCTTTCACGGTCGCTTTATTCCATTTGATTCGCCGCCGATGTTCGCTCCAATGCAGCGTCTCCGAGGCGGGTGTGACGGAGCGAGAGGCGGAGAGGGTGAGAGAATGATAGCGGGGAAGAGGGAGAATAAGGCTAGCGCACCCTCTCGCGCACTCTCCAAGGCCTTCGTCTTCTGCGAGCGCCACGGGTACACGCGCGCTTTGACAGCTTTCGGGTATTACACGGGGATGGCCGGTGGTAGTAAATATATATATATATATATATGTATATATACCGGGTGTTTCAGATCACGCGGTGATTCGTTAACGCCTCAGTTTAGAGAAAAATATTTCAGACAAAAGCTGTAGGGCTTCAAAGGATCTATTTACTGACGCTATAAATTTGACCTTGAGATAACCTTGAAAAGTCCAGTCAAGATCAACATAAAAATCTTAAATGGATACCCCAACTTTTTATTACATCATCCTTTTCTAGCAATTAATTTGAACAACTTTTGTCTGAAACATTTTTTTATTTACCTAATATTTTTTGAGATATTTAACGAAAACTTGTCAGAAGAAAAAGTGGTAATAGACTTTTTTGCTCTATTTAGTCTCAAGAATATATTGTTCCAATAGCGGCCTGAATTTGGTTAAATCGATGATTTTGAAATTTCCAAAAATCAGCGAGTTAACAAAAGTCAGGGCGCTATTTTAACAATATATTCTTGAGACCAAGTGGAATAGAAAAGTCTAGTACCATTTTTTTATCTCGACAAACAATTAGCGAGATACCGTAAGTTAAATATTGAAAAAGTTACCAAGTTATCCTTAAATATCTCAAAAAATATTAGGCAAACGAAAAAATGTTTCAGACAAAAGTTGCTCAAATTAACTGGTGGAAAAAGACGGTGTGATAAAAAATTGAAGTTTCCATCTAAGATTTTTATATTGATCATGACTAGGCTTTTCAAGGTTATCCCAAGGTCAAATTCATAGCGTCAGTAAACAGATCCTTTGAAGCCCTACAACTTTTGTCCGAAACATTTTTCTCTAAAATGTCGCGTTAACGAAAAAATCGGGTGGTCTGAAACACCCTGTATATATATATATATATATATATATGTATGTATGTATCGACCGCGGCAAGAGAAAAGACATTCGCCGAAAGGTGAAGAATAAAATCAGTGGGCCGCGTGATTCGTTTAAGGAGGAAATGGCACTCTGGGGTGAGCTTGCTTCCATCGAATTATATCGGCGATCGTATTATCGGAGTGCCGGACGCAGAAGTGGACAGAGACTAACTGCGAGAAGAAGAAATCGCTTTGACGAGAGTGGCTGAGGTAAAAGAGCTAATTCAAGGGCCGGCAGGAAGAGGAGAGAGAGAGAGGGAGAGGGGGGGGGGGGAGGAAAGGAAAGGACTTCCGTCTTGGAATGTAAAAAGATATCGCGGCGGTCTCAGACGTTCCGGACGGGCGGACGAGATATGATATTTTCCCGCGGACCGGCAGCGCGGGGTAAATACGGGAATACTTCACGACGGGTGGAGGCAAATTTTCGCCGCCGGCTAACGTTATTACTCGTGGCCGACGGCCGCGGCGCAAGGACGTACCGGCGGCGAATTCCGCCGTTATTCGTCGACATTGAACGGAAAAAGCAGCCGATGGCAAACGCGCCGGCGAGGCTGCGGATGGAAACTAAGTTCTATCGTTGGTTTAATAGAGAAAACATGCAAGTTCGCGTTGAAAGGGAGGGGGAGGGGGGAAAAAGAAAAGAGAAACAGAGGGAAAGAAAAGAGAAAAAGAGAGAAAAGTTACAACACGGTCGAAAGTTTCGCCCCGAAACGCGAACCATCGTCTCGTATTTGTTTCTCTTTTCCCTTCTCTCTCTAGCTCGCCAAGTCAAAACGGCGAAAGATTCTTTCAACATCCGACGGGTTAACTCCCGCTGATTGCAGCGCGGCTCGCGATTAAGAGGCGTAACGAGTCGCCATTGTTCGGCCGCGGATCGCCGAATTCGATCGTGTCGCCCCGATATTTAAAATCACTTCCGCCTTTCGCTCGGTTATCGGGGAACGCCTTGTCTCGCTGGCCCGACCGATTACGATAATGAAATCGGCGCATGCCGCGAAGTTGCTTCGCGGCGGCTTTACTGGGGCAAAGTCGTTGAAAAGACCTAATCGGTCTCTCGGTGCTGCGGTCTCGCGGACCGCCGATGGTAGGCGAAGTTGCCCGGAGATTCGCCGGCAGGCGATAATATCCGGTGCCGATGGCCAAAGAAGAAGTGTTGTAGCGAGATATTATGCAAGCGCGATCTCTCGCCTCGAATGAATGCGCGCGCGCGCGCGAGAGAGAGAGAGAGAGAGAGGGAGGGAGAAGCATTTGCGCCCGCAAGATTCGCGAGATTTCTTGCGTCGAGTGACTAGTGAAGCGTGACGAAATTGCAGCAGCGTCTCGGTGCAGATGAGCTGAGGAAGAAGAATGGAAGAAGCAGTCAACGCCCAAAAGAAAGTAATTTCAGAACAAGCGGAATCATCTAAATTTTGGAGGATTTTATTCTTATAAAACATGGCCTCAAGAGGATTCCTGTAGGATTGAGAGGAAAATATTGTATAAAGCGTATTGTTCTTAAAGTTAGAGAGATTACATGTTGCATGTACAATGCAAATCTTATTGATTTCAATATAAATTTCCTCTTACACACAGATTATTTAATCTTTTTTCAAGAGGATCGTTATTTATTGTTACTGTGCCTTATTCTTACTGGTTACGCTAGTTGATTTGAAAAAATTATTATAACATATAGCGAAAAGTAATGTATACAGATGTACTCTTGGCTTCAGTTCCACAACAAGGCATGAGTGAAACAAGATCATCATAACAAATTAATTTCCAATGAGTTTTGTTATGGACTTTACAGCTGCAAAGATGTTCGTTATGACCATTTGTAGTTAAAAGAAAGAATATATTATTCAACTTTTTGCGATAGATTATAAACTGTATCTGATCAGATGCGGGTAAATTATGTTCGTTATGCGTTACAGCAACACACCTCTGATAAAAAGCTTTCCAAATATTCCGACCTATGAGCATATTATTTTCTCGTTCATGTCTGGAGGTAGAGCATGACCGAGCGAAAGAAGCCGACATTCCAATCAACATACTCCTCTTCATACACTTCGAGGAAAATTTATCGACATAAGAGGAAGTCCTCTTGAAATAAGAGAAAAACAATTAGAATAATATCTAATAAATTTTAGATGAAATTTTAGATGAATGGTTCTCATTCAGCTTTATTCAATCGCTTGGTCGAAAGAGGAATTTTCTTTCTTTGTAAAAGGCTTCGCTTAGAATCTGGGAAAAATCACTTTACAAGTAGAGTACTTTCTTCTGGGCAGACATCGAGGAGAAGTCGCGGAACAAAACGACAAAGCGAACGTTGGCGAACGACGCTCGAATAAAAATCGCCGGGGCTGCAAATTTCAAGCGGGAATGTCGAAAGCGATAATAGAACGCGGTGCGTCGGAGTCTCTCCTGCCGAAATCCACGTTTGAAAACCGCACGCGTCGCCACGCGTATTTCCAACGCGTATTTCCGTGGATTGGAACTCGAATCTCGATACCGGCGATATCGATAAATCATTAGTCGCGAGCTGGAGTCTCCGGCGAGGGAGACGACGGACGAGGCGCGCGTTGAATCAAGGGAAAATATCGGCGAATTGCAAACTGATGCCTCCCATCCGCCGCGTTGTTATCTCGCCTCCACGTTACTCCCTGCAGATCCGATTGCAGCCGGAGGATCGGTGAAGAATCCCGAATATTTCAACGCCGGAGGAGACGCTCCTCTCCGCGCGCGCGCGCGCGATATCCTTCGACGGCCGGCGCGTTACACGCAAGATCGGAGCTCTCGGCGGCGTAATTAACACGCCGCTCGTAATTAACTTCCGCGTCGAGTGCGCGTATTATGATACGCAGCGCGTTTCCCGTTTCGCTTTTGCCGCAAATTGGCTCAGTTGCTGTAACGTTAACACCGGCCGCGCGCTAACGACGGCGAAAAGTTCGGAAATCGTTCGCGAGTTATAATTAGAAATTCCGAAATTTCGCTTTGCCACGCACCTAATGAGCTTTTACGCGCGGTGCGTGCCACTCGAACGACGAAGTACGCGTGTTTAGTTTAATTGGCCCAACAACTCGCTAATGCGGCAGCGCGTAAATCCATCCCTCCGGCGACCTACGTTGCGCTACTTTGTCTTTGACGGGCAATCGTGAAAAAATGTGACATGTTCGTCGTCGTCGTCTCTCTCGCTCTCTCTCTCTCTCTCTCTCTCTCTCTCTCTCTCTCTCGAGGAAAACGGCGGAGTCGATTCCGAGATAAAGCGAGGCAAGCAGGTAGTGCGCGATAAGGGCAAAACGTAAAGAGAAGTGAACGAGTGAAGAG